GCAGCATTATTTGGAAACTACTGATACTGTATTCCAAATCACATAAGTAAAATAATGTACCTAAAGGAACAGGCTTTTATGGCATCAACACACAGACCACAACAGACTTTCAAACATACTGGCTAGGGAAGATGAACAGAAGGAGTTCATAGACTTAACAGGGACAATGTACAATGACAATAGTGTATTAAATGGCTCCAAGAACTAAAACTTCAGTTATTGTAACTTTAATAATAATTAATTTTGTTAGAGGACAGGCAGCCAGTGTATATACACTACATGTTAGATCAAGGTCTTCCCCAAGGTTAAACTTTTGACCCCCTTTCCCCCAGGATGTCTTCTAACAATGAGCTAAGTCCTGGGTACCTATTTACTGCTAGATGAACATGGGTGATAGTAAAAGCACCCAGTCATTTCTGTCCTGCCCGGGATTTCAGAATCCACGATTGTGAGTCGAGAATGAACCCAACTGTTAGATGTACCAAAACTAGTCAAGATGTAAACCAAGTTGTCGACGAAAGGAAAATTTTAAATGAGAGTTTTGAAAAATTAGAATTATCATGAAAAATTATAGAGCGCCCTCCTAAATCTGAACCTCTCTGCAATAGCTCCCTCTAATCAACGGACAAATCCGTTCAGAGGATTTCCCTTTCATTATTTTTTTTTTTTTTTTTTTTTTTTTTTTTTTTTTTTTTTTTTTTTAGATTCCAGCGTGTAAGCACAGTAAAATATGAATCATCAGATCACACAGTAATTTCCAACATTATACTTTTTCTTTTGTAAATCTTGCATATTTGTAAATATTATTCAAAATAATTTATTTATATTTTACCAACGCATAACTAAGCTTGTATCGTACTAAAAATTTAAAAATACGTTTGACATTTTTAACGAGGCACCAAAATCTACTCTGAGGTCTGGATGCCTCAGACAAAAACACCCCCTGTGTGAATACAACTTCACTAGCCTTTCTTGGGATATGTCATTACTTGCGAGATGGAGCCGTGCCATGTAGCAATAACAGTATGGATACATCAGACAAGGGTAACAGGTCATTGGAAAAATGACATGGTTGGGAAAGGGGAATGGCTGCCAGGAGTATGCCACTAATAATAGTGTTGTTTCTGACATTAAAGGAAGCAGATCATATAGTTTGTGAATAAAATTGAGAGCAATGGTGGAAAAGAGAGAGGCCCTTGAGGGTTTGAATGATGCCTGGTCAGAGAACAGGCTACAAGGAACGTTGATCCTCAGAACCAACACAAGGTAAGGTACATAGCTCTGTAATCTGGCCCCGGTTGTTGGTAAACAATTAGTCTCTCTGCGAGAATGGCATTAAACACGGGCACTGAGGACTTCAAGACCAGTAAAGTGATTGCAGAAGTTCAACAGACAACATGACAGTATTATAACAATTCTGCTGCTTCTTATCAAGACCAGTCTGACTTACAAACAGTAGATATATTAATTAACTCCGTATTTTTTATCATCATATTTATAAGCACGCAAATTCAGTAATATTAATAGGCACTAAAATTCAATATTATTTATAGGCATGCAAATTCAGTAATATTTATTGGCACGCAAATTCAGTAATATTTATTGGCACGCAAAATCATTACTCACATATGTCTATGCATAATGTAATACTTTCTACGGGAAAATTAAACAAAATTGGTGCTAAAGAGCTAAACAAAGGAAACATGCAGATATCTATATTTTATGTAAATCCACATCGGGTCTGAAACAATATGATCCAAATTTTGGCCATAGTAGAGAAGCTGGGATACCAAGAGCATAGTTCCCATCCAGTAACTACACTTTGCTATTACACACACATTTGTTACAATTGGTAACATTTTCAGAATATAGGCTCAGATGGAAACTCCTTCAGTTATTTCATTCATCTTTAAAGGTTAAAAAAACTTTTTCAAGGAACTTTTGAATTAAGCAAGGTAAGGTAATTATCAAAAGGCACCAAACCGGGAAGGCTATGTAGCACCATCAAAATGCTGAATAATCAGAGGACGCTAAATATCACAAAGAATGCCAATACGAGAACAGAAACGCATAAGGCGAACGATATCAAAAGTATCCGATTCACCTAGAATTCTATCGAGGGACAAGTGACCGCGAGGGACGGTCGGAATGCAAGACACACGCTCGTCCTGGAAGTCAGGACATTCAACAAGGATATGCACAACTGTAAGAGGGACAATGCAATTCGGACAATAAGGATCAGGGCGGCGCTCCATTAAGTGACCGCGGGTTAAGCGAGTATGGCCAACCCGCAGCTGCCAAAGCAGTTTCCCACCGCCAGTTACGGTGGTAGGAGGAAGGCCATGGGGACACACTACGTTTGAGAGTACGCAGCTTGTTACTAACCACAGAGGACCAATAACCCTGCCAACAGGCAAGGATGGAGGAATGAATAACAGGATAAAAGTCGGAATAAGGAATACCTTTGCGGGAGATGGGACAAAAACGGATAGCTTCCTTAGCGGCAGCATCCGCACGCTCATTGAAAGAAACACCAATATGGCTGGGAACCCAGCAAAACTCTACCGATTTAAATTTACTAGAAATAAGAAACAGCCAATGTTGAATCTCGATGACCACCGGATGGACAGGATTAAAGGACCCTAGAGCCATGAGGGCACTACGAGAGTCAACTACAACCACAAAGGAGGAATGATAATGAGAAAGCAAGAGACGGAGAGCATAGAGAATAGCATAAAGTTCTGCCCTAGAGTACGATTTTTTTGGGTATACGACATCAAATTCACCGTAAAAATTGAATTGGTGTATGACGATTTCCTAGGAATATGACGTCTTAAGTGTTTGGGTCAAACAAGCACGTGGTGCTGGAGCGTGGGGTGATTGCTTACCAGTGTATTTCCCCTACCTGCCCATTGATGACCGCACTTCAATTCTTTATAAAGAATTTCATTGTTTTTGTACTTTTGGAGGTTTTTGAACATAAAAGTTCTTATTATATATCACACCATGGGTCCCAAGTCAGTGGTAAAGTTCAACCTAAGAAAATAGGTGTGAGGATGACGAGAGGAAAAATAAGAGATCATTTGTAATACTTGCTTTAAATAGTGGTACCTCAGTGGATTCTTATTCAACATTTGAGGAAAGCAGGAAGTCAATTTCTTATGCAACAGGACAAAACTTTCCCAGAGCACAATGACTCAGTGATTCCCAATATAACTCTGGTTTCAACTACAGTGGTACCTATTACGTAAACTGTAAGCCAAATATTCATAAATTGAAGTGAATTTCCCCATAAGAAATAATGTAAATTGAATTAATCCATTTCAGACTCCCCCAAAAAATTAACTTCAAAGTAAATTTTATACCTAATTCACCCAAATCTTCAGTACTAAAGTATGTACAAGTTATTACTTACCTTTACTGATGACTAGTTGCTGTATGGAAGACGGTAAGGAGGTGGGGGAGAGGGGGGGGGGGAGGAGGAGGAGAGGTGTTAGTGTTTGGAAGGAGAGTCCCCTTCCAAATCTTTAAATTCGTCAATAAATCTTTCAGCCACTGGTTTGTCTGAGCTGGCAGCCTCCCCATGCCTCACAACACTATGAATACCACTTCTCTTTCTAAATTTCTCAAACCATCCCCTGCTTGCCTAAACTCTTCGGAACTACATCACTCGTTCCAGGGATTTTCTTTAAAAGGTCTTCGTGCAATTGCCTTGCTTTCTCACAAATGATGGCCTCTCAAACGCTATGACCTGCTAACACTTTGTTGTGTATCCAAATTAATAACTTTTCAACATCAAGAGTTTGTGTTCTTTGTTTCATAATTGTTGATATGCCTTTTGCCACTTTAGCACTCAATGTCCTTTTTCTTTGCAAGTACAGTGCATATCATTGACTTAGATTTGTTGTACTGCCTAGCTAGTTTAACAACCCATGTACCATTTTCATGTTTAGGAATGATCTCTTGTTTTTCCTCTATGGTCATTTTCACATGTGTTTTCTTGGATTGAACCTTACCACTGGCTTTCTTGGGACCCAGGGCGAGATATATAATAACTTTTATGTTCAAATTCCCAAAAATCCGAAAAAATCTGTAATTCTTTACAAAGAATTCAGGTGTGATTGTCAAACCTGAAGGTTGCGGGAGGCACTGGTAAACTGAGGTGCGATTGCCATGCCACCATGCGCTAGGTCGGCCATACTCGTATCAACAAACTTCTTTTCCCGAGGCAAAGCTCTTAACCCGATTTGGATTTTACGAAGAAATTGGGCTCGTAGCCTGAAAAGTTTGTGAATAGGAGCATAAGCCGAGGTGTCACTGTATTTGTATTTTTATGTAGTCATTACATAAGAATCTTGGAATGCTCTCTGTATGGCCAAACTTTGTATCATGATTAATTTTACTTTGAATTTATAACAACTTGATAAAACACTAACATACTAGCATAAGGGAGCAATCAGCAGTCACTTGACACAAAATTAATAAATAGCCTTGATAAAAGATGGTCACTACACATTATTACATTTAATAGATTAACAAATTACAAGCCATAATTGGATTATATACATCCAAGACATAATAGCATACTGCTACCATGTAATTGTGTGCATATATGTCACTTCTAAGTGCAAATTCAACAAATAAAAATAACTGTACCACAAAAGTTGGTAAATAATTAGGTCTGAACAGCTCATTCTTATCGATAAGCACAAATGACTAAAGTTCAGTTTTAAGCTGAGAACACCAATGTAATTAAACAATAAGCATATAAATAACAGTACTGTATGTAGTTAGGAGAGAGAAGTTGGCACAATCAGTAAAATTTGAACTAAGGAGAAATAGGATGATCAGCAATTCAATGGCAGGTATTGTAGTGAGAGAAGCCAGAGTAATACTGGCTGTGGTACAAGTATGAGCTAAGGCAACCCAAGAAATGGGTTAGAGCACACCAGCGTCACTCTAAATGCAGCTCATGTTTGACTACATGAGGAATAACTTACTCTGTCACACCAGACCCTCTGGAGCTTTGCATAAACAAAGAAGTCTCGAAGTTAGCTCTGTGACCACTGTCCAATAATAATACATCTTTACATATTAATTAGCTACAAACCAGTACTAACCAGTCTTATATAAAATATGAATAATATGAGTAAATTTGGACTTTTCTTAACATATAAGAAACTACAATTAGTGTTTCATGGGGATAGTCTTCACTTGATCAACAGGGAAAATTAGATACACAAAAATTGTCAGGGAAGGCAGATTAGGCTATAGGGTCTGTAACTACCCTTATGCCATATACATAACAAGAACAAATATATAAACATATATTATTATGCAAAGAGAATTAATGAGTATATAATACAAAATGCATGAAATAAATCAGAAAAAAATTCTTATATTCTCACGTAAGGACCAGAATCACGAAAGTCTAATTGAAAGGAGCTACCCATAATATGAACAAAATAGACTGTAGTGTCAGATGGCAAGAAAAATCAATGTTATACAAGATAATTATTTTTAACAAGACAAAAAACTAAAAAATATTTTATCTTGTTCTAGTTTTGGTAAACTTTAATTAAACCCCAATGGAATTATCCTGTCCAGTGAGTGAGTGAGTGTCCAGTTTCAGTACAGTATACACAATCCTGAATTGCTAATTTACTTGCATTTTCTTATAAACATTGAAGCAAAATTATTTCACCCATGTTAGAAATCATGAAATCAAGCTTAAGAAACATAGTCATTTGTTCAGAAAACTTGAATAGACACTTTGAAACTCTGTAGAATGAATAAAAGGTTACTTATAATTTCCAGACACCAAGATACAATGTCAATTCCAGAGAACACAATAGAATACACTAAGATATCTCAAGCCAAATTGAACAAAAATACTTGGGTTAAGAAGAAATAAAGCAGTTGGACCAGATGGAGTTTCACCTCCATCTAATGGAGGTGTAGTGAGAATGTGCAAGTTGAACATTCCACTCCAATTGATATTTTAGACATCCTTGTGTACAGCAGATATATGGAAAAAGTGAAAACAGTTCCAGTCTACAAAACTGGAAGTAGAGAAGATCCTCTAAAATTGTGAGAGGAGCATATGCATCTCTTTCAAACTTAAGAATCACTTTTAGTTACATGGATGATGTAACTAAAGAAACTGGTCATGACTTTTGCAAGACCAAAATTTAAATATGCAGCAATAATAATAATAGGTGATAGGTGCCCATATCTCAAAAAGCACATCAATAAACTGGAAAAGGTGCAAAGAATAGCTTTTGGAACTGAAAAACAATAGTTATGAAGAGAGGCTAGAGGTGTTAAAGTGTATATTAAAGCTATAAGACATAACAGGAATTGACCAAATTGATAGGAATTCCTGAAACTTGCAACTTCAGGAACAAGAGGTCACAGATTTAGGCTAAGGAAACAAAGGTGCTAAAAAATATTAAAAAGTTTTCTTTTGCAATGGTGATGGTTGGAACAAGTTCAGTGAGAGGTGGAAGAGGCCCGAGAGGTGAAAACTAAAACTCTTAATTTTAAACCATTATGAAAATGAGTTTTAAATCATTATGTGCTGGAATGATGATGATGGACACCACATGTGTAGCTCACCTAACTACAATTAGGTAATTACACACATAATCTATACCTACATATATTTCCAAAGTTATACAAAATGAATACCACTATTGACATCAACATAACATGGGAGCACAAAAAAAGTAGGACACAATGAAAATATATTTACCAAGTTATTCCCGTGCAGCACTTCACCTCAGTACTACTAAGAAAACACAGCTTTCCTGGGTCATTACTGCTAAACCACCATTGGTAGAGACTTTATAAGAATTTTAGTACAGTACTTCATGGATGCTATTCAACAATGTAAACAGAAAAAGAATTTTCAGAAAATGTTTCTTCTGCATGCATTAAGATAATATCATGTGCAGTTTAAGGATTAAAGTGCAACTGCTTTTCACCCTATATTGTATTACTGTCTTAACAAGTAACATTGGTTTGGCATCTGTTTTTTTGAAAGGTTTTGGATTTCCAACCAGTTTTTCTTTAAATTATTTTATTGTGTTCTGACATTAACTCCTAGGTTTTCAACACTTTTTTTTTGTTCTACTGTGTAGTTCAACTTAATTTTGCATGACTTTCAAATTATTATTAGTTTATACTATATGCATGGGGTGCTGGATCTTGTCATTAAGTCATTTTATGGAGTTTACTGTGGCTCACTGAAAGATACGGTATAGATAATTTTATTTAATGCCTTGAACTCTACAAATGCCACTCAAAAAAATATTAGTGCTGTCTGCAAAAGATAACATGGTACTATAGTTTGTTTCTTTTTCCAAGTCAGATATGAGAATGAGTACTAGCAAACAAGTTTGAATGGAGGAGGATACAATTTTTACTTTGTTGACCATTATTCTTCGTGTTCTGCTTGTTAGAAATTTAAAAATTCATCTTCCAATTTTGATAATTATTTTTTATCACACCATAATCACATTCGTTGAAAGCTGTCATGAAGTCTGTGTATATTATGAAAGGATTTTGCTCATCTTTCAGGGCATCCAATACAATGTCATAATGTTCCAACACAAGTGGCAGAAACATCCTACTCTAAGCCTATGTTAGCCAGCGGCACAACACTGCTTCAGAAGGAAAGTCATACTAAACAAACTTGACAATCTTCCTAGACTGCCCAAAAGCTTTTGATACAGTTCCTGACAAGACCAATGTACAAGATGGCGAGACCAGTGGGGATACCAAGAAAGGCACTGGAGTGGGCATGGGAGTAAGGTACTTGATGGATAGGAAACAAAGGATCATAGCCAAGGATGATACATCAGGTGGGAAAGAAGTGGAAAGTGGTGTTCCACAGGGCTCTGTCCCAAGGACCATTGCTCTTTTTCCCATTATGTAAATAACTTTGCAGAAGGAGTGAGCTCAAACATGTCAATGTTTGCAGATGATGCAAAGTTAATGAGGAGAGCAAGTACTGATGAGAACTGTAGAGTGAGGCAAAAAGAATCTCGACAAACTTCAAGAGTGGGCTGATAAATGGCTGTTGGAATCCAATCCAAATAAGAGTAATGTAATGAAAATGGGTAAAGACAATACCAGAATTCAACTACATCCCAAGTGGAAGACAATTAAAACAAATAAGAGAATAAGACCTGGGAGTAAATTATCCCAACATTAATGCCAAGAGCTCATGTAAATTGGATAACATCAGCAGCATATGGGAAGCTAGCAAACATAAGAACAACATTTCAGAAACTAAGCAAGGAGGTTTTCGAGATCATACACACTGCCAATGTGAAAACATTATTTGTGTATGCAGCACTAGCAAGGAGCCCACAGCCTGTGAAGCACAAAAAAGAAACTTAAAATTCAGAGGTTTGCAACCAGAATTGAGAGGCCCCAGCTATGAGGACAGATTGAGGAAACTCACCCTCACAACCTTAGAGAAGATAAGAAACAAAAGGATATGCTCACTACATACAAGATCCTCATGGGGAACAGAAAATTGATAAAGGAAGCCTATTTAAATTAGAAAGGGGTAGGACAAGCAGACAAAGGTAAGTTGTACACACAAATGAGTGAGATGCAAAGAGATTTCATCTTGTTCCTTGCATAGATGGTTGGCAAGCAGAATGCACTGAAGAGAATGTTGAAGCCATTTCTACCCATTAACAAAGAAAACATGATGAAAATGTTAATGTTGAGAGAAGTAATTAACATGCCAGATATAAACATCTAGGTGAGGCATAAAGATCTAGATTTCACTGCCTTGTAGTTGGTAATAGGTAAACACCCTCCTGAGGCTTGGATCAAGCACACTTGTCTTGATTCCAGAATCATGCAGGTGCCCATATGATGGCATTGCCAGATGCCACCAGTATGGTTTCATTAATCAGAAAATCCACTCTCTAACCTTATCATCTTACCATTTTTCTTCCTTGATTCGCAATTAATTTCTAACATTTCACTGGCAAACCTGTATCTTTATGATGAAGCATGTGCAAAGTACACAAAAGATATATATAGACTTAAATAGATAGAGCTGCTGGTCATATAATTTCACTCTTAATTCTTCCTACTTACCTTACACTGAATTTTGATTTCCCACAATAGTATTTATAACCAATTTATGTCTCCTCGGAAGTCTCTAATTACATTTTATAGGCAAGCAAGGTCTCGGTAAATTTCTTGTCAGGTTGTAGTTCAACCTGACAAGATATTAGCCCTCACAAAGCCCTCTTGCCATGCAGCTGATGGGTGTTGTCTGCTGTTTAATGTCACACTAGAACTTATTTTGCTTTCCTAGCTCCAATTTCTATGCTACTTTCATTTGTTCTTCATGCTGGTTCCCACTTTAAGTGTTCACAGTATTTTTCTTAAGGTACTCACTCTTGGAGAATGGAATATTCTTTTCTGGACCCCAAGAAAAAACACTCACAAGATGATGCCCGGTGTCCCTAACATACTGTACTTCTATTCAGAAATGGCTTTCATTCACTTCTAATATTTCATTTTTTTTTTTCTAAACATAAGCTATTCATACTACTACTACTTTTGCACATCATCCACAGTTTGAATTCTTGCAGGCTCTACACTTTTGTCACTCCAAGTTGTTTTCCACTGCTGGTGAGTTAAATTCCTTCATCTGGTCTAATTTTATATTCTTGGCTCCCCTACCCCCCCCCCCCCCCAACCACCAACACCCACCTTACAACTACAAATGCCATCTCCCTTTTCTTTCACTGGTTTACAATGTGTGTTTCCTCCCCAACTCCTATTTTAAACACTGCTCTAATCTGAGGGTATACATCAACACTAAGTCCATCTCTTATTCTGTATGCTATCCACCTGGATATTTACTACTTACTTTTTCAAATCTTCCACTTATCACTTACAACTTTCACTTCAAGACTTTTCCAAACACTTCCTGGGTACTTTATGCATTGCATAATATATCTACCTATAATATTTTAATCTAGCCAAC